CAGGTCATACAGCAGGGGGATGTGGAAGCAGGCTCCGGAACCCCATGTGCCTTGTGCTTACGCACAATGCATGGTGGGCTTTTCTTTTTCTTTTCTCTACGGTCAAATATAGAATATAAAATGTACTGGGACCTAAGTCCAGGAGGCAACATTTCTGGGGGCTCTTGTTCCTCTGTTCCTCCTCTGTGCTCAGCTCTCCTGGCCAGGGGAGGGGGAGGCTGTGCCGCAGGGCAGAGAGCAGAGCCCTCCCCTGGCTGCCTCCCCACGCCCCTTGGCAGGGACTTCAGAGACAGGGGCCCAGGTCACAGTGACAAGCAGAGGCCTTACCCACCCCTGCCGGCCTCCCTCCTTCCCCTGTTACTGTTCTAGGGGTATGCTTCAGTGCCATTAGGGATGTTCCCAAGGTTGTGCCACCATCGTCACCATCCATTTCTGGAACTTTCTCATCATTCCAAACAGAAGCTCCCGGACATTTCATCCCCCCGCCCCAGAGGTTTCATTTTGCTCATTATTGTTGGCAGGGAGCTGCAGGGCACTTTGTTGCACACCTACTGCGTGCTGGAGCCTGGGCTGGGGCCCCGGGGGAGCAGCATTCTGTTGGAAGCTGCCCCTTATCTGGGGGGGAGGGGAGGCATTCCAAGACCCTCAGGGGATGCCCAAAACCACAGAGAGTGCCAAACCCTGGACCTACTGGGTTTTTTCCTGTCCGTACACACCTATGATAAAGTTTAACTTATAAATTAGACACAGGGGTGCCCGGGTGGCTCAGTTGTTATGTGTCTGCCTTCATCTCAGGTCACGATCCCTGAGGTCGTGGGTTGGAGCCCCCAGTGGGGCTCCGTGCTCAGCGGGGAGTCTGCTTCTCCCTCTGCCTCTGCCCTTCCCCCTGCTCATGCTGGTGCTCTCTCTCTCGCTCTCTCTCTCTCTCAAACAAATAATTAATACAAAAGGTGGGGGGACTATCAGATAAGTTGCTCAGGCTGTGGCCAAGTTGCAGTTGTCCTATTCACCGCATAAAAATATAGGATCCCGGGGCGCCTGGGTGGCTTAGTGGGTTAAGCCTCTGCCTTCGGTTCAGGTCATGATCTCAGGGTCCTGGGATCGAGTCCCACATAGGGCTCCTTGCTCAGTGGGGAGCCTGCTTCTCTCTCTGCCTCTGCCTACCACTTTGCCTGCTTGTGCTCTCTCTCTGACAAATAAATAAATAAAATCTTAAAAAAAAAAAAAAAAAGAAAATCATCGTAAACAGCCATGATCTGTGAGCCCCACCATGACCATGCTTCTCATTAAGACGTTTCCTTATATCACTTCATTCAGTCAAAATCCTGCCTCAAGGGGTGCCTGGGTGGCTCAGTGGGTTGAGCCTCTGCCTTCGGCTCAGGTCATGATCTCAGGGTCCTGGGATCAAGTCCCGCATCGGGCTCTCTGCTCAGCGGAGAACCTGCTTTCTCCTCTATCTCTCTCTCTGCCTGCCTCTCTGCCTGCTTGTGATCTCTCTCTGTGAAATAGATAAATAAAATCTTAAAAAAAAAAAAATCCTGCCTCAAGTATGGATTGTAGGCCCATTTTTCAGAGGAGGGAACTGAGGCCAGAGATAGGGGCCAGCAGGTGAGGTGGACGGAGGATTTGAACACCAGTCACTGTAGGAGGCCGGAGAGCCTTCCGTCTTCCCCTGTCAGGCCAGAGTCCTAGGAGGGTAGGAAGGAGGGAGGCCGGCAGGGGTGGGTAAGGCCTCTGCTTGTCACTGTCACCTGGGCCCCTGTCTCTGAAGTCCCTGCCAAGGGGCGTGGGGAGGCAGCCAGGGGAGGGCTCTGCTCTCTGCCCTGCGGCACAGCCTCCCCCTCCCCTGGCCAGGAGGGCTGAGCACGGAAGAGGAACAGAGGAACAAGAACCCCCAGAAATGTTGCCTCCTGGACTCAGGCCCCAGGCCCTGCCCTCCTTCTGCTTCTGTGTTCTTGTCCTGGCCTGTGTTGTGGGTGAGGAGGTGTGGATACAGGTTTGTGTGGGGTGTGCAGGCTGGCAGACGCATGGGTAGGGAGCTTGTGTGTTTCATCGTGTGCAGATGGGTGTGCATTTCTGGTGGCCGCGTGAGAGGTGTGCACGTGGGGCTGGTGCAAATGACCGGGGTGGGGGACGTGCCTTGGTGTGGGTATTTGCACAAGAATAGAACGTCACGGTAAATGCGCGTGCTGGCGAACATACCTATGTAGGTTGGCGTGCACACGTTTTCATGCAGAAGTTATGAGTGTGTAGATGACATGAGGGTGTCTATGTGTTGGTATGTGAACCTGTCTGCATTCTGCACGTGCATGTAAAATTTTAACACTCCAGTGTGCAAGGCGTCCTCCCAACTGCCTCATGTGTGGTTAACTCTGAGTTCTCCCAGGATCCCTGAGGTAGGGCCTCTCATTATCCCATTCTGCAGAAGGGAAAACTGAGTACAGAAGAGGTTCAGTCATTGGCTAAAGAACCTCGCAGGTCCTATGGGTGCTTCTGTACGTGCATGATCGTGTGTGTCTGCATGAAGACTGGGATCTGCAGGTGACGACACTTTGCCCAGTAGGCGTGAGAGTGCTGGACAGGCAGGTGTGTCCGAGGAGGTCAAGTGCGATCTGAGGCAGGACCCCTGGCCCCCTGGGGAGGAACAAACAGCACAGCCCTACCAGCCTCCATCCTTGGGGGTGGGCAGTCTTCCTGTGCTCTCTCTCGGCTGTCTGCAGAGGTGGTTCAGACAGTGTGGGGGTCGTGGGATACCCGAGGGGGGACAGCAAGCTCAGGTAGTAAAGTAGGCATCAGAAGAGGGCTGGGGCCAAGGGGGGGTTACAAAACTGAGGGGGACACCACGGGCAGACAGAGGGGTGACTGAAGGGGCCGCAGGCACAGAGGGTGAAAGGCAGCAGTGGCGGGTGTCAAGGGGCTGCCCTTGGGCCACCAGGGGGGACAGTGATGGTGAGCACAGAGGGGAAAGCAGGAGGAAGGATTCTCAGGTCCCAGCCCACCCATGTGGCCCTCTGGTTCCGCCTAGCCCGCCAGCAAGCCATGCCCACAGAATCCCCAAGCCCCCAACCGGGGCTAGCGAGTGGTTCTTGGAGCCTGCTGCCTGACAAGGTGAAGGTGCTGGTGACCAGGACCAGAGAGAAGTGGCAGTGGTTCTGGTGAGTGTGTGCCCCTGTGCTTGGGGGGTGGGTGGACTCTCAGGTCTGAGGGAGGTGGGGCTGGGGGCAGGACTCCTGGGTCTGACGGAGGAGACGCTGGGGGCCTGGACCCCTAGGTCTGAGGGAGGAGGGGCCCAGGGCCCTGGACTCCTGGGTCTGAGTGAGGAGAGGCTAGGGGTCTGGACTCTTGGGTCTGAGCGAGGAGAGGCCGGAGGCTTGGACCTCTGGGTCTGAGGGAGGAGGGGCTGAGAGTCTGGACCTCTAGGTTAGAAGGAGAACCTGGGTCAGAGGGAGGAGGGGCAGGGCCGGAACTCTGGGGTTCTGAGTGAAGTAAGCCTGTGACCTCTGGGTCTGAGAAGAGCGGAGAGTAAGAGTCGAGAGCAGGCACTCCTAGGTCTGAAGGAAGAGGGCTGAATGGGACAGCAGAAGTCTTGGGGGTGGCTGGGGTCTCAGCCGTTATGTCCCCTCTCCTGCAGGGGACCGGAGGCCTTCCAGGGCTTTGTGAAGACCTACTACGACGACCATCTGAAGGACCTGAGCGTCCGCTCCCAGGCCTGGCTCCGCAGCAGCAAAGACAGCCTTCTGAACCGGGCCCACAGCCTGTGCCCCCGGCTTCTCTGTGGGGATGGGGACTAGAATTAAAGTTTCTGCCGCCGCCACAATAAAGACATACTTCTCTTGTGTCCCTGTCCCTGTCCCTTCCCACTGTGGCCGCCCCCAGCAGTTCTAGAGTAGAGGACGTGACACCTGGCCAGGGAGGGACGGTGGTGGTAGGGCCCTGAGGGGAAGGAGTCAGGGGGATCACTCTCTTCTCCCAGCCCTGAGACCCACCCCTGCGGGCTTGTGGGGGGAAGGAGACCTCAGACAGCCGAGTTTGGGGTTGAGGGGGAAGGCTGGAGTGTGGATGCGGTCAGCAGGTCCCCACAGCCACCTGTCATTCCAAGCTCTGCCTTTGCTTCCTACGTGAGGGAAACCCCAGCCCCCTTCCCTGGTGGGTGCCCAGAACCCCTAACTCTTCACAGCCCTCCACCCAGCCTGTCTCTCTCAGGAGTGAGTTTTCAGAGTGGGGGGCCCCCTGTGGCTTGACCCTGGGGACAGTCACTGCCCTCTCTGCCCCGCACCGCCCCCTCAGTGGCCCTGTTGGCTCGGACTTTGGCCTAGGGACAAGGTGAGGGTGGTGGCTGTGGACAGGGAGGTGGACCACAAGAGCTATAAAGCCCTTCTCTGCCCGCTTGGAGCTGGTGAGGACAGCCTGCCAGAGCCAGGTAAGAGGGACCAGGACGGAAATGGGGAAGGGTCAGCAGGGAGGGGGCAGAGATAATATGCAGTCAGAAACCCCACAGAGTCCCGACGTTAGATTCCTCTGTTGGAAGGGCGGGATTTAGAATCTTAGACCGTTTCCCCTGTGCCGATGCCCCTCGGGGTTGGATCTCAGCCTCATCTCCAAATTGCAGGAGACAATAAGGCCTCTGGGCACTGTCATCGCTGAGCTGAGCGCTTCTGTCACCACGGGGCAGGGCGGTGGGGAGTGCAGACAGACAAGGCATGCAGAACAGGGCCTGGGGCATCAGAAACGGCCCCCTGAGTGTATGAGGTGCATCCCCATACCCACTGGGTCTCAGTGGGATGTCACCCTTTCCTAGGCCACGCATGTGACACGGCCTCCCCCGTCTGGAGTACTTATCCCCTCCCCCACAGCGTGTCCCCCAGTTGAGGACACGCTGTACATTTTCCTCATTTAATACCACTGATTGTATTTCTCTCTCATGTGGGCTGAGGAAGGGCAGGGCTGTCGCCTGAGTTCACAGCAGGGGCCCAGGGCCTTGCTTGGCACACGCGGTTAGGTGCTCAAGAAAGGCTTCTCGAGGGAATGAAGGGATGTTAGAACGAAGGTGTGAAAATCATGAGAATCATAAAATGTTAGACAATGAGCCCCAAGCACAGGCACTGGCAGCTAGACTCAGCGTGGGGCCGGGTAGGGGGGGAGACCTAGATGTCACTGACGACCCTGCCCCACAGCCTTCTCAGCGTTCCAGGTCTTCTGAAGCTATGGGCACCCGATACCTCCTGGTTCTGGTTCTTGTCCTCCTAGTCTTGGGATGTGGTGAGTGTGTTTGGCAGGGGACAGACGAGGGGTTTGTGAGGGGGACGAGATGAGCTCTAAGCGTCTTCCCAGTCCAGTCCTCGCCTGGCCCTTGTCCCTCTCCTTCCCTGCCTCGTTGCCCCCTGCAGCAGGCTCCTCAGCTCTCCTAACGCGCTCCCCCCTGCAGAGGTCAGGGGGACCCACATGCCCCAGCAAGATGAAGCCGCCAGCCCTGCCCTGCTCGCTCAGTTACAAGAATCACTCTATAGCTACTGGGGGACAGCCAGATCGGCCGCCCAGGAGCTGTACGAGAAGACATACCTGACCACCATGGATGAGAAAATCAGGTATCAACCCGCCCCCACTGGGAACCGGGAGTCCTGGCCCCCAGTCCTGCCCGAACCCCGGATTCTGAGATCCCAGCCCCGTCCTCCCTAGGGATCCAAGAGTTTGGGTTCCAGCCACCTTTTCCCACAGGACATATAATTCTGGGCCCCCCAGTCTGTTTCTCCCCTAGACTCGGGGTACTCCCAGCCTCCTCCCCACTCTGAGCATCTGTCCTTTCTCCCCAGGGACCTATACACCAAAAGCACAGCAGCTATGAGCACTTACGCAGGGATTTTCAGTGACCAGTTACTTTCTATGCTGAAGGGAGACCAGTAGCAGCTGGGGCCCCGACCAGGGGGGAAGGGAGAGTCCAGACCCCACAACCCCTTGGCTCCTCTGCCCTGCCCCCCACTTCTCAGCAGCTGTCAGCATCCTGCTCCCAACACTAGTCTGTCTTCTTACAAATAAATTAATGTACAAAGCCATTTATTTTATTCCATGTGGTTGCTTTTCTAAGACCAAGATGGCCACTGATTCTGTCCATCCAATGGTTATTGAATGCCCATTGGACATATGGAGGCCTAACTTGGTCAGTGGGAATAACAAGTAAATAATAACAAGGAATAATCGTAACAGCAAAATTAGAGACTGTCCTTCCCCAAGGTCTGGGCTTCTCCTCTGTAAAATGACAAACCAGGAACACAGCTAACTTCCAGCGGCCTCTGGCAATATCCAGGCCCTGGACAGGTCCTTTAAATGTGCATCCTAGTGAGGTGTCCCATGGTCCTGTGTCAGAGGGGAGACTGGTGCCCGGAGGCCACTACTGAGCATGGGAAATCAGAGCCAAGGTGGTCTGGGACCCAAGAGGATCGGTCTACAAAAGCGATGCTCTGTGACAATTCTTATACACTTGTCCGACATGTCCAAGATTTATTGAGATCCTGCTAGGGCCAGGAGACACTGCGGGGGGAAAAGACAGTCCTGCTTTCTGTGGCCCTTTAAAAAGCTATTGATTGGGTCTGGGCCCAATTCCATGTAGGTTTAGTGATTACGGCTGTGTGCTGTGCCTTGTTAGCTGCTCTCTCCCCTTGTTAGCAACAGTAGTGACATCTGAGCTCTCATTCAGGATCAGGAAGGAGCTCTGTTCTGTCTTGAGGCCACCAACGGAGCCCGGAGCCCGAGTGCCAGAGCGACTGTGGGGTGGGAAGGGGCGGGGAGGCAGAGGGCTGAGCCAGACGACCAAGGGAGAAGATGACTTCAGACAGCAATTTGTGCGATGAAGAAAAGAAGTGAAGAGATCAAGGCCTGGGTGCTGTCCCCTCGGATGAGGGAGGGCCCCCTAGAAAACCTGGCTGGGCTGGTCCCAGGGGATGCAGTGGAGTGTGGTTGGGGCTGTTGTTGCTGGGTGGTGGGGGGAGGGGAGCGGGGGACTGGCTTGGTCGGTTAGTGATTGGGAAATGGTATCTGGGCAGTAGGGAATTGCAGGCAAAAAGCACAGGGTGTGCAAGGAAGAGAAGAGGCCGTACAGTCGGAGAGAGCAGTGCTGGGTGGGTAGAGGGCTAAGGGCCTGGACTTCTGGGTTCTGAGGGAGTAGACGGTGGTCCTGGGACCCCCAAGTCCAGGGGTGGGGCTGTTGGCCTCTGAGGATCCAGGGTCTGTGTTTTTCCTAATCTGCTTGGCATTAACCTCCAGCCGGCCTCTCAGCACTCTCAGAGCAGTTTCCCTCTTCTTGAGGATGGGCAGCTAGGAGTCTAGCAGAAAACAGGGGCCTTGGGGAGGAGCTGTGGGAAATGCCCCCAAGTCCCCCAGGGCCTGGGAAGAGCTGAGGCTGCCAAACCCAGGGGGTGATGGGGAGGGGGGGGGACCCTAGAAGAACAATCCCTGCTCTGTCCACTTGTTTCCCACGGACTCAAGCCAAATCAAACCACTGCCCAGGCCAGTTCTGCTTCCAACCAATCCTGGTACCCTTCCCAGATTCCTCCTTCCTTTCTCAGGCCTCCACCCCAGTCCCACTCACCCTAGGACCCCAGAGGCCAGGCCCTCAGATGCCTCTTCCCCCAGAACTCAGGAGTCTGGGACCCCAGACTTCTTCTCCCTCAGACTCAGGAGTCTGGACCCCCAAGCCTTTTTCCTCAGGACCCCAAAGTATAGGGCTCCAGTCCTTTCCTCCCTTAGAACCTGCCATCGCAGCCTCTGGTTGGTGTTGGGCGTCCCCTAGTGGAGGACAGAGTGTCTGTGAGCTACTTAGCAGTTAGAAATGGAAGAATTTATTTGGTCACTCAACAGACAAGAGGGAGGACTTTGCACGGGTCCTAAGGTCACAGTCTAGCTGAGAGACCATGCTCCCACAGATCGGGACTCCACAGTTTATGAGAGAAGAGGGCAGACCTGAGCATTTTGTATCTAGAGTTGAAAGCAGAGATGGGGTTACAGTGAAGCTGGAGATTATGTTTCTTTTTTTTTAATTTTAAGATTTTATTTATTTGTCAGAGAGAGAGTGACAGCACAAGCAGGGGGAGCAGCTGGCAGAGGGAGAAGCAGATGGGAGCCCGACCTGGGGCTCGATCCCAGGATCCTGGGATCATGACCTGAACTGAAGGCAGACGCCCAACCAAGCCACCCAGACTCCCTTGGAGATTATGTTTTATTTTTTTTTTAAAAGATTTTATTTATTTATTTATTTGACAGAGAGAGAAAGAGAGAGAGATCACAAGTAGGCAGAGAGGCAGGCAGAGAGGAGGAAGCAGGCTCCCTGCCGAGCAGAGAGCCCGATGCGGGCCTCGATCCCAGGACCCTGAGATCATGACCCGAGCCGAAGGCAGAGGCTTAACCCACTGAGCCACCCAGGCGCCCCGGAGATTATGTTTTAAATCCCCTCATTTGCCTTAGCTTTCTGTGATCCTCTATTTAAGCTTGTGCAGGTAATTTTGTACTTTTTTTTTTTTTAAAGATTTTATTCATTTATTTGACAGAGAGCGAGCGATCACAAGTAGGCAGAGAGGCAGGCAGAGAGACGGGGAAGCATGATCCCTGCTAAGCAGAGAGCCCGAGGCGGGGCTCAATCCCAGGACCCTGAAGGGATCACGACCTGAGCCAAAGGCAGAGGCCCAACCCACTGAGCCACCCAGGTGCCTGTAATTTTGTATTTAAAAAAAAAAAGGCCCACAAATCTGAAACTTGCTTTTGTCTGGTGGACTTGAATCAATACGTTCATTTCTTCCCTAGACTTAAAAACTGGGCCTATGGGGCGCCTGGGTGGCTCAGTGGGTTAAGCCTCTGCCTTCAGCTCAGGTCATGATTTCAGGGTCCTGGGATCGAGCCCCACAATTGGGCTCTCTGCTTAGCAGGGATCATGCTTCCCCCTCTCTCTCTGCCTGCTTGTGATCTCTCTTTCTGTCAAATCAATAAATCTTTTTTTTTTTTTAAGATTTTATTTATCTGACAGACAGAGATCACAAGTAGGCAGAGAGAGGGGAAGAGAAGCAGGCTCTGCACTGAGCAGAGAGCCCGATGCGGGGCTTGATCCCAGGAGCCCGGGATCATGACCCCAACCGAAGGCAGAGTCTCTAACCCACTGAGCCACCCAGGCGCCCCGTAAATAAAATCTTAAAAAAAAAAAACAAAACTGGGCCTACAATTTTTTCTAAATTTCTATTTATTTATTTGAGAGAGCGGCGAGAGAGACAGCACAAGGTGGGGGGGGCCAGAGGGGCGGGCCGCCAAAACAGGGCCTCCGTCCCAGGACCCTGGGATCATGATCCGAGCTGAGGGCAGACGCTTAACCAACTGGGCATACATATTTCACAGACCGTTTCTTGCCGCTCTTATTATCTGCGAGTGAAGTGGACTGGGAAAGACATTCTCTAAGGTAACTTCTTGCCCTTGTGTTGGTCCTCAACATGAGGTATATAGGTCATCAACCTTCTGCAGTTTCATCGCTTCACTTAGGAATCATCCCCTGGGGCAGTGCGGGAGGCAGAGCAGTGAGCGTGACAGTCCTTGGCTTCCCCCATCCAGGGCAAGACATGCCACACCCGTCACTGACAGTAGTGACAGAAAGTGGGCAGGGAACGGGAAGACCGGGAGGCGGTGCTCGCACAGCCTGGGGCCAGGGAGGGTTTCCTGGAGGAGGTGCTGTTACTGCCTAGCTGGGACCAAGAGGAAAGTGGAGGGACTAGATAATAAAATGAGAAATAAATAATTGGACAATCCTAGTGCAAAGCCTGCTCTCCCTTTCAGGTAATCTGTTAAGGTCAGTAATAACAGTGCAAGATATTGATCACCTGCTAAGAGTGAGGTGGGGCTGGGTGGGTGGGTGCTGTTTACATTCGGGATCTCACTAGGTCTTTCCAAAACCCCGGCGGGGCAAAACCGGGAGTGAAATGCGTTTAACAAGAAGAGGTAGAAACTGAGGCCCAAAGAGGTATGTCCCTGGTCCAGGATCATTTAGAAGGCCAGTAGCACAACCACAGTTTAAACCCAGGTCACACCTCCACTCAATTCATACATAAGGCTTAGCAGCCGCTGATACATTTTTTCCTGATCCTCCATACCACCCTCCCCAGGCCAGGGGTCTTGCAACACGTGTCCCGGCTTGAACAGTACAAAGATATATAGCTAAGAAAAAGTATGAAGTTCACAGAGCCCTTGAAGCCGAGTCCGAGTTGCAGAATTTGCCCCGGAACGCGCATGCAGGCTAAACTAGGTGACCCGAAAGCTTGGGGAGGGGCTGGCGGCTGGGAGAACCCTGAAATACTAATTCTGAATGCACGGGAAAACTCCAACCTAAGGGTACTTGAAAGAAAGGATTGCTTTGGGAAGAGGTGTCTAAAGGCTACGACATTGGCCAAAGGCCCGCCCCCTGAGTCTGGGTACGGTGGCCGCGGAGGTTCAATCAACACAGGAGGGGCGCGCATTAAGCAGATCGTTTTGAGGCGTTACGGTGGCCGGGAAAGCTCAAGAAACACGGAAACGGAAAGGCCTCGGAGAATCGGCGAGGCGGGCAGGATGGCCTACAACGCTCACATAGATGGAAGACTCGAATTTACCCGAGAAAGCAAAGGGAATGGAGCCTCTGAGAAGCTCCTACGCCCGCCGAGAAAGTCCGGAAGTTCAAAGCAGGGAGAAAGTCTACTAGGTAAAAACCAACGTACGGCAGAGTACGGTGGCCGAGCTGGTTCTTTCTTAGCCGGAAGCGGCTCTCTCGAGAGGCGTGGCTTACGCGCTCCTGCCGGATACGGTAGCTGGCAGCTCCGGCAAGTGTGAAATCTCGCGCGATCGAGCTGGCGCCGTCGGGGACGGGGCGGGGCTGGCGGCGGGGGCGGGGACCCGGAGCGGGAAGATGGCGGCGGCGCAGGAGGCGGACGGGGCCGGCAGCGCCGTGGTTGCGGCCGGGGGAGGCGGCTCCGGTCAGGTACGGAGGCCGAGAGGGGCCTGAGGGGTTCTTCCCAACCCGGGGGGCCTCCCACGGGGCGTGTCTTGCCCC